GTTAACAGGGCGCGATCGGGTCGGGCTGATAGGAAATCCCTGTCGACAGCGGCCGGCTCTAAACATACCTTATCAGCCCGAGGGTGAGAGGGGGGGGCGTCCTCCCCCCCCCCGGGGGAGGGGCACTTCTCTGTTGGTGTCCCTTCGGACCCGATCTGAGGCACCCCCCCCCCCTGGGGTGGTTGGGTGGTACTGATCCCTTCGTGATAGCATCCCCCAGCCGCCAGGAGGGTAGAGCGGACGTTGCCCCCCCCCCCCCCCCCCTCCTCGGCGGAGGCCACCCCGCCCGCGGGGAGCCGCCCGGCCAACTGGGGGAATACCGGGGGGGCTGTGCGCCGGTGCCCTCGGACTAGGGCCCGGACTGGGACACCCCCGGGAGGTCCGGCCTCCCGCTCGAGCTCCAGGCCTCCCGCACCCAGCCGCCAGTCACGACATTCCTCCAATCATTCCTGCCAGGTCTGGCCGCGGCGTGTGTCGGCAAGCCCGAGGGCCCAAGCCGGCTGCAAGCCAGCATGCAAGCGGCAGCCCGCGACCCGGTGAGGCAGGCAGGCAGGCAGACAAGCGGGAACAGACGGAAAAAAAAGCCGCACACACAGATACACACTCGCGCTCTGCCGCCGCCGCCGCCGCCGCCGCCGCCGCCGCCCGGACCCCACCGGGCACAGATTCCCACCAGAGCGGCCAACATCGAACCGACCCTGCCCGCCGAGGCCACCCTCCTGCATATCGTGTGACGCCTCTCGTGATCAGCATCGCCGGATCAGATGCCGGCGTCTCACACGCGAGCGCCCAACCCGGCTGTCACTTTTGAAGGCTCCGGTCCGGGTGGACCTGACGATGGGTGGGGGCCCTCCCATGGGGCGACGGGGGCTCCCCGCCCGTGTGGCATTCTTTGCCGGCCCTTCGACCGGTGTGTTGTTGCTGGGGGCCCCTTCTCAGTGGTGCCGCCCCCCCCCCGCCCCTGCCACCGCCGGTCGGCGGCGGGGGCCCACCCCACACCCGCTGCGATTGGGGGCATGGGGTGCAGATGGAAAATGGACCGACACGGCGTGGAGATATTGCCTCATTCCAGAGGGGATATGCACCTCACGGCCCTCGTGTGCGGCTTCGTGCTGCGCTCCCTGCCCGGGCCCCACGCGCCGACCGGGCAGAAAGCCGCACCCTGGTTCGCCCCCTCGGTCGGCCTATCGGCCGAGACGGGCCGAGCGGCTCGGGCATAGGCGACACACTGCACTTGCGGCCATGTTTCGTGGGGAGAGCACACCGTCGTCCGGGCTAGCATGGGCTGCAAGGCCCCCAAACGCGCACCAAGGCAGACACACACACACACAGCCCGATCCCCCGTATACGCCTCCCGATCCCCCGACCCGAAGACACCACCATGATCGGGCCCGCCGAAAAATATGCCCCCGAACCCGGGGAGATCGGTTATGTCCCATGACTCGGTCCGGACGCGAGGCCCAAGACCCCTTCCGACCCGGGGCCCCAAGGGCTTGTGCGCGCGCGGTCCGGCGACAGCGCCCTGCGCAGCGACCCGAAGAGTGGTCCCCCTCGGGGGCGCGGGGGGCGTTGGCCCAAGAGCCCACGCCGACGACACACGCCATATGCGCGATTGTTATGATCGGCTGTTCGACGTGTCCCCGGGCCCCGGGCCCGGCCTCCGGCAAAGTGCCCCCCCCCCCCCCCCCCCCCCACCACCACCGCCCCGAATAGATCCCAGATGTTCGCCCAAGCGTGTGTTGAGCGGGGCACCCGGTTTCTGACCATCCTTGGCCAGCCGGGCGCACGGCCGTCTACGGTGGACTCGGCCCAGACTCTCCTCCCCCAATGAGAGGGGGGATCTCTTTACATCGGCTTTCGAGCCAAAAAACGGACCCGCTCGCAAGCCCATGAGGCCGAACTGTCGGCCACCCGACCCTGCGTCCTGCCATTATCCCCCCCCCTCTCCCTCCTCAACACCCTCGCCCTCTCCTCCGGGCCTCCTCTCTGCCTCCCGGTCCCGCGTCTCCTCCCCCCCCCCCGCCCCACCCCCCGACTCCCCGGCTCCCGTCCCCCTCCTCGGCAAGAGCGCATTACCCCGATGAGGCACTTCCTGATCGTGGCGCTGATCGCCGCCCTTCTGGGCCCGGCCCTGGCGCTGGGCCCGGCCTGTCAGCGCTCGGCCGACGCGCCGGTCTTCACCGGCGAGCCCTCTTGGCCCAGCCCCATGAAGGCCAACCTGACCATTGCCCTGCTCGGTGACGTTGCCATGCGCAATGAATCGGTCCTGGTGTTCGATCTGATCAAGCGCCGCGGCGCGGACTTCGCCATCCACGCCGGTGACTTCGACTATGACAATGATCCCGAATCGTGGGAGCAGTTCATCGATCGCGAGCTCGGCGAGTACTACCCCTACTTTGCGGTCATCGGCAACCACGACCAGCTTCGTTGGTCCGGCTACGAGAAGGGCATCGTCAACCGCATGCGCCGCCTCGGCGCCGACAACCACTGCAAGGGTGTTCCCGGCATCTCGACCGTCTGCAACTGGGAAGTGCGTGCCTTTGCTCGGGGGGCCGCGGGGCGCTTTCTTCCCCCTCCCTCCCGTCTCCACTCCGTCTCCCCCTTTCGGCCCAGTCCTCGGTGCACTCCCATGCTGACGTTGAAATCCCCCCCCCCCCCCACTCCCCACTCCCCACTCCCCACTCCCCCTCTATGATAGGGCTTCCTCTTTGCCATGTCTGGCGTGGGGTGCCGCCTTGGTGACCACGAAGAGTTCCTCGAGGAGGCCCTCGGCTCATATGCCAACCCCTGGAAGCTGTGCACCTGGCACAAGAACCAGCGTATGTACCAGATCGGCGGCAAGCTCAGCACCACCGGCTACGGGGTGTACGATGCCTGCCGCCGTGCCGGCGCCCTCATCCACACCGGCCACGAGCACTCCTACTCGCGCACGCACCTGATGTCCAACTTCGAGAAGTATGCCGTGGCCTCCACCGACCGGGACATTCACCTGTCCGCCGGGCGCACGATCGCCTGGGTAAGTGGCCTCGGCGGTCGCGGCGTTCGTGACTGGAATGAGGATCTCGTGTCCAACCCCTGGTGGGCCGCCGTCGGCGCCTCGAACAATGGCATCCAGGAGGGCGCCCTCTTCTGCACCTTCAACATCCACGGCGACCCGCGCCGGGCCTTCTGTGAATTCGAGGACATCGCCGGCCGCATCTGGGACCAGTTCCAGGTCTTCTCGCATGTGGATCCGCATGGTGTCCCAGCTCCACAGAGCCGCCTCGAGGAGGAGCTTGAGACTCGCAACCGCGGTGATGACCTCTGCCGGACCCGCCAGTTTGAGGTCCAGGTCATGCGCCAGAAGGACAACTACATCTTCGACCGGGCTTCCGGCACTCGGGTCCTCACTCGCGATGCGGCCCTGACCGTGGACGGTGCGCATGGGCCGGCCTCCCTCTCCTCCTCCGGCTCCCCTCTTTCTCCGCCTTCCCCTTTCCTTCGAGTTCCCAGCTTCCCCATTTGCCCCATGATGGCCCGCCAGCGGCATGCATTGACCCCATTTTGCCCATCGACTCGCCCACCTGCCGGCTCGCCTGCTCATGTCGCCTCAGAGAACCAGTCCGTGCGCCTGATCTTCCGCGATCTGCCGGCCGAGATCCCGGCGGGCGATCTGCTTTCGGCGCACATCCAGCTCCTGGGTCTCGAATCTGACCAGCATGAGCTTCCCCTGCTGCGCATCGGTTCGCCGGTCGGCGCGGCCGAGCCCGTCGCCTGGTCCTACGAGGATGAGGAGTGGGAGGCCAGCACCGTTTGGACCACTCCCGACCTCATTGACATTGTGCGTGATGCGTACATCGCTGCCGAGGGCGGCATCATCGGCCCCTCGGTCACGGTGGACATTTCCAGTGTCTTTGGCCGGCGCTCCTTTGCCGCCTTCGAGCCGGACATGTGCCTGGCTGCCTCGCTCTATGTCGAGTACCGGAGCTGCTGAGCCGCCCCGGGACACACCCGGTGGAGTAGTGACGCTTTCCGGCGTATTTTTTTTCCTTAGGTCCCCCCCCCCCCCCCTGTGTGTGTGCGTGTGCATGCGCCTGCGCCTGTGTGTCCTCTCGGCAGAGGGCGTGCGCCAAATGTATACACCACCTTCTCCCTCGCATGGAGTGTCCTTGCCTCGTTCCCTTTTTCGGCGCCAAGATAAACGAGGGGCGGGGGAAATGCGACCGATCGTGGGCGAAGATGGGGGCACGTGATCTGCTTTGCAAATGGAAAACAGGGATCTCCAACGGGTGCGCGGCGCACCTTTTCCACGCCCGCCACATCCCACCGCGTTGCATATGTGCGCGAGCCCGGCGGGGCGGCTGTTGTTACCTCGGGGCGCGGGGCGGCTGCCCTGGATCGCCCCTCTGCCGAGGGGGTGCTTGTTCGATTGAAGCCGCTGTTGGGCAGATCTGACTTGGCTCCTGTGTCATCCGGTAATGATTCCCCCTCCTCCCCCGCGCCATCCTCCCTCGCCCTCCGCCACCACCGCACATACACACGCTCCTTGGGGTCCATCTCTGCCTGCTCTCGGCCTCTCCTCAGCCGCCAGCTTCTCCCTGCTTCGATGAGCACCAGGCCACCCCCGAGCCACTGGCCACGGCCATCCGCCAATGCCTTCCCATTGCCCTATCCTCCGCCGGGACTGATGGCCCTGGCACCAGGATCTCTGCCGTTTATCGGCCTGGCCCCACGGCCCCCGCTCGGCGCCCATGGGCAGCCAATGCCCCGGCCGGCGGCCCAATCAAACATGTCGTCCATGTCGGGAGCTCCCCCGGATCGCCGGTCACGAAAGCGCCCCAGGCAGGCACCCTCTCCTCACTCCGGCAGGCCGGCTATGTGTCCCTTGGCTCCTGGCCCATCGGTGCTCGATGTCGGGCATCCGGACATTGGCCACCATTTCCGCGCGTCTCTCGCGGATTACCAGCCGGCCGCCGTGGCCCAACGTCTTGCGGCACGACTGCCTGCCGAATGTCCGAGTGCCACGACCGCCGATGGCCCCCGGACGCCGGCCGCACGGCGCCGACTCCGACGCAAGCTCCTCCATCGGGCGGCATCCACCGCGAAGCAGCAGCAGCAGCAGCAGCAACAGCAGCAAGATGCCACCAGCCCGCCGGTGGTTATGACGTACGCTGGTGCGGCGCACGCTTGGCCCGATGGCATTGTCTATCGGTATCCCCAGCCGACAGCCGCGATTGTTGGCCGCATGGCCGCCGCAATTGCCTCCCTGCCTCGGCTTTATGTGCAAGTTTTACACCTGATGAATGTGATGAATCTCCCCCCGCCCTTTGATCTGGATTCAAGTCCCGTGTGCTTGGACCCGGCGCTGGCGCCGACCGGCTTCCCCCCGGTCTATGAGGATGTCCTCGAGGCGGCGCGCGTCGGCGTGGCCAAGCGCCAGCGCGGCCTCGACTCCGATGAGTCGGAGCTCGAATCCGACGAGGAGGACACGCCTCACGCGCGGCCCATCGCTCCGGCAGCTCGACCGTCGACGCGGCTTGCGCAGCCCAAAAGGAAGACGACTGTCTCCGGGCCCGCATCGACACCCGCCCCCGCTGCCGTTGCTGCCGATGCCTCCTCCACTCCTGTCCCTGGTGCCTCTTCTCCATTTGCCCCTGGTCCTGCTACTGCCCTGGCATCTGCCGCCTCTGTTGCCCCTGCTGCCGCCCCCCCGGCACCAGTGGCACCTGAGTCAGTCTCCTCGCTGAGGGCCCCTCCCGTGCCCAAGAAGGCCTCCTCCCCAGGAACGGCCTCTGCCAGCGAAACCCCCCCCTCCGCCCCGGGCCTAGTCCCCCATGATGAGCCTCTGGCCAGTAAGGCCGCGGCCTCCCCTCGAGCCTCAACCCCCCCTCGCCAGGCGAGACCTCCAAATCCCCCCCAGGCCCAGGGGCCCACCTTGACACCGACCGCACCCGCCAAGCCGCTTGCCGGGTCGAATCCCGCTTCAGCTGCCGGGTCTGACATGCCTAAAGCCCCGGCTGAAGGCTCCGAGGCAGCTCCCCTCGTGGCCTCCAGCCCCGCGGTGCCGCGGGCTGCCCCCATCGCCACAGCCCCAGCCTCGGCTGTTCAGTCAGCCATCGAGGCGATCACCACCCGCGAAGAGCTCCTGGCCATGAAGCTGCCTGTTGAGCAGCTGACCCGCGATTATCCCCGGATCTTTGGCCGGTCAGCTCCGCCTGGTGCCGCGGGGGAGGCCGCCGCGCCGGCCACCTCGCGACTGTTCTTGAAAAACCTCCACCGATCAGTCAACGAGACGCTCCTCTCACATCTAATTGACATCAGCCTGTCGGGCCTGCCGAGGTACGCCCACATCTTCCTGCATCTACATCACCGGGCCACTTCCATCCATCACGCTGCGCCTCCTCCGCCTCCACTCCCCCCCCCTCCCCCCATCTCGCTCCTACCGCTGCCGCCCTCCTCCAGGCCTAAGAGAGCCATCGCTGGTGACTGACAGTCTGCCCGACATTCGGCTCGCTGCCCTGTCCTATCGTGCTCGACTCGCCCAGCGCCTCTGACCGTCGATACTCCCTTCGGGTACTGGAAAAACGCATGCGCGGCCAGGCCTTCGCCAACTTCGAGTGCGAGCTTGCCGCCCAGCATGTCCGACACGATCTGTACGGGCTTGCCCTTGGGGACAAGCCTCTTTGTGTGGTATGTTTGCCAGCCCAGCCGGATGCGCGTTGTGGGTGTTCTGCGCTCTGCTGACCTGCTTGAATCACATGACAGGACTTCGGCAAGTAGATCTCAAACGTGGGGGCACGTTTGTGCGCCGGCTGCCGGGGCGTCTCTCGGCTGCCACAGTGTGTCCCCAGCCCGCGATCTCGCCGACTTCACTGGGGCGCAGAGAGAGAGGGAGAGACAGCGAGCGAGCGAGGGCGGCAGACAGCCCGCCCCGGCGAGAAACGCCCCCGTTCTCCCGCACCAATGGTGAGTCTTGCGCCCTCTTGGCGGGTGGTCCCCCCCCCCCCCCGCCCTCGCATGGCGCACTCCCGTTCCTTGTTTCTCCAGCATCTGTGCTGACGGTCCTTTCTCCTCCAGCCCGGGAAAGATGTAAATAGACCGGAGAGCTGGCCTGCCCCCCTCCCCGGAGGCTGGCTTTTCCCCTCTCCCCCTCTTTCTCGCCCTGTCTCCTCGCGTCCTGAAAACCAGCGTGTATGGGGCCCTCCTCGCCGGGCTCGGCCATCGCCACCTTGCCAAACACTCCCTCCTTCCCTCCCTGCCTCCCTGCCTCGGTCGCCCACTGCACCTCCCTCCTGCCTGTGTGCCTTCGTCATTCTCCGCCTCAGGAAAGGGTCTTCCCCCTGTCGAACCGATGCTCCGACTGAAGTATCACCGCACGCTGAGCGGCCTGGTTGATGCGTTGGCCGGCCTGCGCGCCTCCACGCCGGAACTCAACTCGGCCGCCAGCCCCTTCGTTGGGCTGCTGGTGAATGCCCGCCTCGCGCCGGGCAACGCCCAGCTGGCCGGGCCGGTTCTCTATCAGATGCTGAATGAGGCCCGCGCCCCGGGGACCCGGCCGATCCGGGTGTTCGGTGGCCTGGTGGACGGCCTGCAAGTGGTCACTGGCCCGGAGGCCGAGCAAGTGGGCGCGGTGGCTCTCATCGGGGGCCAGGGGGCCCCTTTTTACAGTCGCCTGGAAGGCATCACAGCCAAGCAGGTGGGCAAATGGGCCTCAAATCAGCAGCCGGACTTGAGCCTCGGCGGGATTTTCCCCGGACCTGGGCAGCCGGGCAATGGGCCGCCGGTCCCGGGCCTGGCAGCTTTGCGTGCGGACACCCCCACCCAGCGGGTGGATTTGCCCACCGACCTGGCGAGCAGCCTCACCGGGCCCGGGGGAAGCATCTTCCTCCTGGGCGATCGGCACCTCGAGCACTTCCTCCGCGCGATGCAGGGCCCGGAAGCGGTCAGCCCTCCTGGCTGGTCGGTGTCCGGCGCCGTGGCCGCGGCCACGCCCTTTGTCACGGGGCTCCCCTGGTCGATGTTCATGGATGAGCAGGTACTCGGCGAGGGGGGCGTTGTTGGGGTGGCCCTGCCGGCGGATGGTGCCGTGGCCGCCGAATCCCCAGCCACCATCCGCCCCCTGCGCCCGATCTCGGCCGTGTACCGGATTGCCCGCTGCAGTGGCAACATCTTGGTTGATCTGGCTGTGGAGGATGCCATCGATGGCTCGGTGGCCGATGACCCGGATGCCTGGGACACGGTCACCCCGGCCGAGGCCCTTCTCGAGGGTCTGAAGCAGCATCTTCCCCCGACGGATCCGTTCTTCGCCTCCGCGCCCATGTCCTTTGCCGGCCAGTCTGGCATCGATCGCCGCCACCTGCCGGCTGCTTCGTCTGTGGCCGAGGCGGCCACCGGCCAGGCGCCGGGGTCTGTCCGTGGCGAGCGCCACATCTTTGCCGCGGTGGAGGTGGCCGCGACGTCCAAGGCGCCTGGCAATGGGTCGGCCCTTGACTTGACCCGATGCCGGGTGTATTCGGTGACTGGGGGTGATCCCTCACGCGGCCAGGTGGGTCTGGATACGATTGACCGCTTGCATGCGGATGCCCGGGTCCAGTTCTTCACCTATTCCTCGGGGCTTGCGGGCGCCGAGCCTGGCAACGAGGCGGCGGCCGATGCGTTTGCCATGTCCGATGCGGTGGCCTCGCTGCAGCTTGACATGCCTGCCTCCATGGCACTGGCCGGCATCGAATCCTCCGAGGCCGATGTCATGGAATCTGGCGACTTGACTGCGCATGCGCCCTCGCGGACAACCTTCACCGGAGCTCCCGGCCAGCCGGTGGTCGTGGTCGAGAGCACTGGCGGTGTGGTTGCCCGCCCGGCTGTTGGTCGCCCGGAGGCCGGAGCCTTCGTCCTCAAGGGGATGGCCTGCGTGGTGAAGCCTGCCCTTGGACCGGCTTGCGTGGAGGAGATGAGTGAGATGAAGGCGTGAGGAGGTCCGCCCATAACTCATGTCCTCTTCTGGGCAAAGCCCTCTCCCGCCCCCCCCCCCCTCCCCCGCGCGCGCGCGCTCCCTGTCCCCCCTCCCCAGCGAGCTCACCTCTGGGGCATACACCTGCACACAATATGATGTCTCCTTGGGGAAATAGAAGCAAACTCCCATTCTGCGGGAAGAAAGGGGGGCGAGCCATCAGGAAAAGGGACAAACATCCATCTGAAGGGGAGAGGGAAACCAATTCACACACCCAGAAAAGTGGGATAAAATGGAGAGACAGGGAGAGACAGGGGGGGCTATGTATGGCGCGAGGAGCCGGGTGTGTGCAAATTCAAGTACATTGAAGGGGAGCGAAGGAGAAGAGCTAAGACTGAAAGGGCTTCTGAGAGGAGCAGCAGAGTGGAAGATGCACACAATGGGAGAAGGGGAAAAGGGAAAAATACCCACCCACAAACATGCATACGCGCAGGCATGCATGCGCGTGCAGGTAGGAAGAAGATGGCACAGACTGGGCGGGGAAGAGGAGGTGTCAGAGGGGAGGTGGGGAGGCGAAGAGGCCAAGGCGAGGGGGAATGCAAACACCCAGACATGGAGAAGAACGCCAAGGGGAAGAGAGAAAAAGGAAGAGAGAGAGGGAGAGGGAGAGGGAGAGGGGGGGGGGGGGAGGCGCAAAGCGTGCATCAAGGGGGAACACACAAAACAAAAGACGAGGGGAGGCATGTTCGTACTATGTGTTTTTTTTTCGGGGGGGGAGAAAGAAAAGGTGTGGTGCAGAAAATTGGGAAACAGCTGGAGGACAACCCGCCTTCCTCGGGGAGGGACAAAGGGGAGGAAGAGGGAGAGGGAGGGGGAGAGAGGGGAGGAGAACACACGGGAGGCAATGGGAGGGGGGGAAGCGCGAGTGGCGGAGGCCGCCACCCACACCCGCCAGTAGGATAACAAGGGAGGAAGAGGAGGTGCAAACACACGCCCGGATGCCCCCTCACGCGTGGTGACACACATTACAGGAGAGGGCGCCAGCATCGCTCGTGTCTCCGAAGCTCTTCTTGCGTGCGGACTGAGACCCGTATGGGAGGGAGAGGGAGGAGGTTGCTCGTGACGGCAGGGGAGAGAGAGAGAGAGAGAGGCAGCCAAGCGGGCCTTGGTCGGCGGCGCCCCTTCGACACAGCACAGCGCGCGATGCGTGGCGGTGGACGAACATCAACTGCAAGATGGACAGGCCCCACCTACAGCGGGGACGACAAGCAGCCTCCCCGCCGGGGCCCGATTCCGCCCCTGGCCTCTCGGCCCTCCGCCCCCCGGGAGTAGGCTACACCACTGATGGGTGCGCGCAGACGGAAGGGGGGGGGGCAGGAGGAGAGAGGGAGAGGACAGCGGTAGAGAGGGGGAGGGGGAGACGTGGATGATGTGCCCGGTGCCGCGCGCTGAGAGAAAGACAGGGGGGGATAGAGGGGGCGGAGCGCCGGAAGGGACATTCTCAAGGGGGGAGAGAGGGGAAGGCCCTTAGAAGAGGAGGCAAGACTTGCTCTGTTTCCGGGGAGAGCGGGGGGCCAGGACGGCACGGATGGCCTCGTCGAAGACGTTCTTGAGGCCCTTCTGGGTGAGCGCAGAGCACTCGAGGTACTTGACGGCGTCGATCTCCTTGGCAATCTGGAGACCCTGCTGGTAGGTGGTGGGAGCCTGGCGCTTCTCCTTGAGACGAGAGATGGTATCAACATCCTCACGAAGATCGAGCTTGGTGCCGACAACGATGATCGGGGTCTTGGGAGAGTGGTGGCTGATCTCAGGGAACCACTGTGGCGAGAAGGGGGAGGGGAAGGGGGGCGAGGTGAGCAAGGACAAGGACACAGAAAGTGGAGAAGGCGGCGGCAGCGGCGGCGGGGGAGGAGGAGGGAGAGAGGGGGGAGGCTGGCGCGTACCTTGCTGCGAACGTTCTCGTACGAAGAGGGGTTGACGATGGAGAAGCAAATGAGGAAGACATCGGTCTGGGGGTAGGAGAGGGGGCGGAGACGGTCGTAGTCCTCCTGGCCGGCGGTATCCCACAGGCCGAGGTTGATGGGCTTGCCGTCGACCATGACGTTGGCGGAGTAGTTGTCGAAGCTGAAGAAGGAAAGCACATTGGCAGAGAATGGGGCAGAGAGAGAGAGAGAGTAGCAGCACAGGGGGAGAGAGTGAGTGAGAGGGAGATGACATGGAGGGAGGGGTAAAGGAGAATGAGCAGGATACGCAGAGAGAGAGAGAGAGAAGAGAGGCCGGTCATGGGCATAGTAGTGTGCGGGGACGACGCACACAGTGGGGATGTACTCGCCGGGGAAAGCGTTGGTGGTGTAAGAAATCAGAAGACAAGTCTTACCGACGGCACTGGAAGGAGCAGGGAAGGGTGTGGAGGGGAGAGTCAGTAACCTCCGGCCGGGGAGGGGAGGGGGAGGAGGGACGGAAGCGAAAGAGTATGGGGGGAGAGAGAGAGAGAGGGAGAAAGAACCAGGAAGAAACGCACCCATCACCGACGACGACACACTTGATGGCCTGCATGGTGGGGAAGAGGCGGTTGAAGTGGGCGAGCGATTGGGGGGGAGGGGGATGAGGCGGATAACCTGCTGTGATAGGGAGAGGGAGGGGGACGAGTGAGTGGGCGATGGGACAGGGGTCCGGTTGGTGGTGGTGGTGGTGGTGGTGGCGGGGGAGAGGGGGCGGAGAAGGGTGGAGGCTCGCTGGCGGAGGGAAGATGGGGAGAGCGCGAAAGACGGCGAATGGCGTCAGTGCGAGGGAGAGAAAGGGAGAGGGGGGGGCGCGGTGCCCTTGAGCAGGGGGGGAAAGAGGGGAAAAGCGGAGGAGGCGCGCAGGAGAGGAAGCACAAGGGACGTGCTCCTCGGCCTGGGGAGGGGGGAGGAGGGGGGAAGGGCGCCGGGGGGGGAGGCAAACAAGGGCGTGGGGGAGGGGCAATGGCGAAAAGGATGGCGGGGCACTGAAAGGGGGGGGGGAGGGGAGAGTGCGAAGGGCAGGAGGAGAGGGAGAGTGGCGTTGTGAAGGCTCTCGCAGGGGGGGAGGGGGAGAGAACGGACAATCAAAGGGAGAGCGCTACACTAGCCTGTGGCGAGAGGTCCTTCGAACGGGGGAGTTGGGACTACAATAAAAATCACCCCCTCTCCCCGCGCCGGCCGGCGAGAAGGCGCGCACCCGGACACACCCCCAAGGGGGGGGGTAAAAGGCGAAGCGGCCCCACGACCGCTTCAGGGGGCGTGGGCTGGCCGCGTCCCTCCCCCCGGTGGTCCGCGGCCGGGCCGGGGGACTCCGAAGGGGGACGGAATTCGCTCGCACGCCCGCACCGGACACACAGACACACACACACACACGCTGCCCCTTCCGAGCCTGCTGGCGTAGGCCGCCCCGGCCAGTGTGTTGCTCCGTGGCCGGGGGAGCTCGCGCGCACGGCCTCTCCCCCCGGATGCCCGTGTCTGCACAGGGCGCGCAGGGGTCGCCCGAGTCTCCCCTGGGGGGGGGGGGGGACAAGCGCACCAGTCCCGAAGCTGCGCCTCCGCGTCTGGACTTGTGCGCCCCTCGGCGCGAACACCGGCGTCCGCACACGCACCTACGGGAGGCCCACGAATGCTCGTAGACTGGTGGGCCCTTCCACTCAGGTGCCCCGGGCAAGAGCGCAGGGAGCCGCGGTGCCTGCTTGGCGCGCGCGCGCGAAGAACAAGCTCCCCCCTCGCCTGGCACATAATGCGGCACCTCACCCGGACTGCGGCGGGGCCGGCAGCCACCCAGGGACACCGATACCCAGCCCGCCGGCCGCCTCCCTCCCAGGGCGACGCGCGTGTGGGCGGGCGCTTGCGCGGCGCAAGCGCCCAGGGCGCGGCGTCTTTCGCCCTCGGGCCCTGGAGCCCCCCGCCCCGCCTGCACCCTGGCGAGAAGGAGACCGCCTGGAGAAACGCTCTCAGGGGGTCGGGGCAGCGGCGCCCTGCAGGGCAGGAATGGAGTAAATGAGGTGCGAGGTGCGCACCAGCAAGCCTGGGGGGGGGGGGGGGGGGGGGGGGCGGGCAGGCAGGCGACCCAGGTCCAGAGGTCAGTGGCTGGTGTGGAGAAAGGCGAGGGGAGGGGCAGGGCCGCGGGGGGGGGGGGGGGGGCGGGGGGCGAGGAGGCCAGGGTGCCACGGGATGGGTAACCGCCTCCAGGGGTAGACTGCGCGCCGCGCTCCAGCGGCCGGCCGGCCAACGGCCACCGCAGTCCCGGGGGCGAGGGTTCATTACACCTCACCTGCCCCGGGGACCCCGTCACCCTCGAGTGCCCGTGTGGCGGGCGGGGGGAACGGGGGGGGGGGGGGGGGGGAGTGAGCACCTCAGGGCATGCTTGAGCAGCGCCAAGTGGCGGCACCTGGCAGGTGGCCGGGCCGCGAGCGGCACACGCATGGATGGGCGCGTGTGCGTATACCGGCGTAAGCGCTCGCACGTCTCGCCCCATGTGTGACCTCTCTTGCCGCGGCGCTCCCTTGGCGCGCTTGGGAACGTGGCTGGGCCAGGGGAATCCCCTTTCCTCGCCCTCCCCCCCCCCCCCCCACCCCGGACCGTCGCGTTTGCCCGGGTCGCAAGCGGGTGGACCAAGGCGAGAAAGGGTCCGGCGGAAGCGAGGCAGGCCGCCCGCAGGCCGACGCGCGTCGGCCCAGCGCAAACGACCATGCGCCCGGTTGCCCTCTATTTTTCTTTCGCGCCCGGGACGGGGGCGGGAGGGGGGGGGGGGGTAGGGTTCCGCCATTGACGCCTGCCGCCGGGGCCGGGGACAAGGGAGGGCACGACGAGCGAGAGACCGCCAGCGACTTGACAACCCACCGGCCCCCACCCGGCCGAGGTGCCAAAGGGCCTCGTGCGCGAGAAGGCCTGCCCGAAAGAAATAACACCCAAATCTCGCTGGCGGGGGGAGGGGGCAAGGCCCTCCCATTCTGGGAAGTAGCTCTCTGCCCTCGGTGCGGAGGCTGGGGGAGGGCGGGGGATCCGCGAACGCGCAGTCTCGCAGGCCAAATGACAAGGCCAGGGGAGATTGTCCGGGCGTGGGCCGAAAAGGCCGGTCGGAGGGCCGGCGCACCCACTTCGGCGGCTCATCTTGCGCCTTGGGGGGGGGGGGGCCGGAGGACCGGGCATAGAAAAGTCGGCTCTCCCCCACGCCACTGGCCCATACCCCGAAGAGAGCGGTCGAGAAAGGAGGGCGCCCGGGACATGGGCCCAGCACACGTTGAGCCCCGGAACGTGTGAGCCCCCTGCCCCCCCCCCCCCCCCCTTGCCCTCCCCTGGTTCCCCGTGGCGGCTGCGGCTCACGCGCCCCAGGGCTCCGGGGAGCAGGGCGGCGGTCTCTTCCGGCACGGGTGCCGCAGGCCGAGATCCGGCCACCCGAGAGGGCACATCACCCAGACGAACTGCATGCGTCACCTGGCGCATGCCGCCGCGCGTGTCACCTCCGGCAGCCGGGGGGAGGGGGGGGGGAACACACGCACGCACAAATACCTCCCCACTTGGGCCTCCTGCCCGCCTCGGCTGGCGGTTGCAACATCCCCGCCGCGGCGCGCGCGCCCCCCCCCCCCTTCCGGGTCCCCCTTTTTAGGGGCGTGCCCCTGGCAAGGGGCCCGACCGGGTGCCCCCCCCCCGACGTGGCTGGCGTGAGGTGGACGGCGCCGGGCGAGGTGAGCCGCGCGAAATGCGAGCACCCGCGAGGCGGGCCCCCGGAGTCCCGGCGCCCGAGGCCGTCAGCCGGACCGAGCCGGCCCATCACTTGGGTGGGCCATGATGCTCCGGCCGTGTGTGTATGTGGGGGGGGGG